TTCATCCTCAGTCTTTCCAGGTCAATGCTCAAAATAAAAACCCATCAGCTGCTGGTTGAGAGAAGCAATGGGGAAGATGAAAACTTGTCCTTTGCGTCTGTATGTGTTGGGAAGGAGAGAAGAGTACAAAGGCTAGCTCATGGATACTGGTGAATTGAAAAGTAAGGAAGTTTAGGCCTTGTGCCAGTGGTTCTGGAAACCTGGCTTACACAACTTCTTCCTTGATGGATGTACCCGCTGCTGTTAGCCAAGGCAACACTTCACTGTGCTTGGAAGCTCTTGGAAGAGGATTGGTTTTTTGCCTCTCCTTCTTTTAGTATCTTCTCTAACTCTTTGTTAAGAGTATCTGCTGCTGCTGCTGAGGACTCCCCCCTCCCAGAGTTCCCACAGGGGAAAGATTTCTTTCAACTTAGATGAAATACTGACATGAGTTCAACAAGTTATAAATTAGTCACCAATGAAATGTGACTGCAAACTGGAAGGCTGCTTCTTGTTTGAGGAGTTATAGCAGCCTTCCAGTACCTGAAGGGGCCTACAAGGAAGCTGGGGAGGGACTTTTTATAAGGGCAGTTAATGGTAGAACAAGGGGTAACAGATTTAAACTGGAAGAGGGTAGGTTTAGATTAGGTATTAGGAAGAAATTCTTCACTGTGAGGGTGGTCAGACACTGGAATAGGCTGTCCAAGGAAGCTGTGGATGCCCCCTCCCTGGAAGTGTTTAAGGCCAGGCTGGATGAGGCTTTGAGCAACCTGGTCTAGTGGAAGGTGTCCCTGCTGATGGCAGGGGGATTGGAACTAGATGATCTTTAAGGTCCCTTTCAACCCAAACCATTCTATGAGTCTATGATTAAGTCCTGGAGCGTGTGTCTGAACAGTGTAGCAGAGACAAGAGTCCCAGCTGGCTTAAGATGATGCGCAGCAAGATTATGGAAAGAAGTGTGTGACAGGCTAGAGAAATGCATAGAAAGGGTAAATTAACTTCTGGTAGTAGTCAATATTTAGCTCTTGCCAACGGAAGGAAATGTTTGCTGCTCAAGTCAGCAGGCACTTCAGCAACTTCTTGGTCCTCCCTGCCTTGCTTTGAAGGTATACAGGCCATTTTCCAGGAGCACAGTTCCTGCTCTTTCCCAGTAGCAAACTATAAGCATTGCTTCTCCTCTCACTGTTGCTCCTGGTATTTGCTGGGGTCTGGGCAATTTTGGGTTTTTTTGGTTTGTTTATAGTGACTAAAAAGCTCTGCTCCGAGCTGATCCAGGACAGCAGGCTGCAGGTGGAGGTAGGGAGTCTGGCTGTACGGGCTCACAGCAATGTCAGTGGGAAAGAACAAGGTATAGGACTTCAGAAAGGCTTTTTGCTTTTGTGCAACTTTCTTGGAAGGGATGCACCTGAAGTTTCTTTTTCCTCTTCTTTTTTTCTCCCCTCTTCACTACGAAGTTCAAATCTGCCTCCCACAGTCCTTTTGCCCCTCCCTAAAGGTGCAACATGTGACAGATTTCAGTCTCAGCTAGTGATGCTGGCACTGTTGCTGTGATCGTGTGATTGCTGTTTCTTACCTTGCTAAACTACTTTTACCTTTTTTAAAAAAAAAAAAAAAATGTTTAATGTGGGGCCTGGTGCCAAAATCCTTTAGCACTGTGGGAAGGTGTTATCCATCTCCTAACAAAACTACTCCTCACTGCTTCCAGGGAAGACTTGTGCTGTAGGCTCCATATTTTAGGAGGTTGGAGCAATTAGCTGAAGTTTTATCATTTAAAGATGTTACAGACTATCCCAAAGAAGCTATTGCCTGTTAATGAGTAGCTTTGGAAAATGCTTAGTAAGACATTTTTCTGTATATTTTTATGTTCTGGGGTCTGTGTAAATCCAGATAATGTTTGTATTGACAACAGATATGATTTACAGCTGGGGGGTCTCTAGAGAACCTAGACAGTGATGGGTGGAGGTAGGGAGCCAAACCTTTTGCTCAACTTTATTAACGTGGAATGAAAATGCAAAATAAATGAGTGTTGTTCGGTGAGACCATCTAGTGAGGTGTTAGATTTAGGAGGTGTCATAGGTGGAAAAGAAATAGCTTGAATGCCAATAGGTGGTAGATAATCAGGTATGTGCACGCACGAATGTCCAAAACTGAACTTTCAACTTCCCAAGCAGAAGCGGCTGCTTGTGAACTGCAGCTGGTACAGGGGCCAGTTGTAAACTTTACTGCCACCTGGACTAAACCAAAGTTGTGTATCCCAGATTTTCCAGTGAACAAGGGGTTGTAAGACACGAGCAATGCTGAGGAACCTGCTTGTGCCTCATCCTTCTGCACAATGAGGGTTCGGACTGGGAGAAACAGGGCCTGGCAGCTCAAGGAGGAGGAGCTGGTGCCAAAAAGAAGGGCTTGAAAATAAAAACCGCAACCCAAACCCAAAACAATGGTCTGGGAAGAAGAAGAAGATCAAGATCTTGGCTGGAACAAAGATCCTGGAAGTGAGGGCTCTGCATGGAGACAGCAAGGGCCCTCGGGCAATCCCACCACTGGCTTACTAATAAGCAGCTTTATGTCCAAGAGGAAGACAAAACCAAAACCATCTGACACATACAGATGAGAGAACGGAATAATTTTACATACTGTCACTGGTGGAAGAGTCTGGGTTTTTCAGTTTTTTTAAAACTTTTATTCATTTTTTTTTTTTAGAAAAGGAATGAACTCTGCATGGTAGAGTGTACGGTATATAATTTCAAAGCAGAACAAGTGATATGGAATGGATTATTTTCCCAAACTATTTAAAGTTGAATCTAAAATCACTTGTAAATCAACGCTCATTACCATGTAAGACAAAGGCAAACAATCAACATGTTTTTTTGTTTGGTACAGATTTCCTCTACCACTTCAGCCTGAATTTTCTCAGGGTTGGGGAGAAAAGGAGGGTAAATCCTGCCCATTGTCCTAACCATAATTGTACTGACCAAGCTTTGTGCTCCGAGATCTAGCATCATATGGCTTTATATATGTTCCTAAGTGAACAGTGCAACATCATCACCATCTTAAGTGTTTATTCCACATTCAAACTGTAACTGAACATCACTCGGAAACCCTTCCCTGCCCCCAAAACAACAACAAGAACAATGACAAAAAGCAGAAAGTCTCCAGCAATCAGATTTCATCTCAGAAATCTGTGTAAACTGTAGATCAGGGTTGGGTAGCAGCACAGAAGACAAAAGATGTGACAGCGCGATTCGATAGCGTCTCTAAAGACTACTGTAAGACTGCCATTCTTTAGTCTGCATCTTGCAATCACCATTTGCTTTTTCCCTGCAATACTATAAAGCAACATAAAAAAAAATCAGACTCGAAAGCAAAAGGCAGAAGCCTTTACGGAAAGGTAAAGCTTCTACTTAGCCTCGAGTGGTCACTATTAGAAACAGATCTCTGCAACGGGAAGCAAATCTTGAACATATATACATGATTTCAGTGGGAAGGGATGCAGCCAAGGACGGAAGCCCTCCTAGCAGACCCACGGACTGTTTTGGCTTGTAGGTCAACGCAACACAAACCAGCAGGGCAGCCATAGGTGTCAAGCACACCCCAGGCTCTTGGCTCCTCTGTTCCTTGGCTGCCTGGGGGCTGGGAGGAGGAAGAGGAGGAGGGAGCAGGAGCACTGGCGAGGGCCCCCTTTCCCTTGCTCCACAGCCAGATGAGTGATGTGTGGGTTGCAGCAGTGTGGGGCATTGCACCAGCTAGGTAAGTGCACACTTTTCTCTTTACCCCTCCTCCCCAATCCTGTTGGAATGTATCTATATCAGAAATTAGATAATTATTAATAATAACTGTAAGCTAGCTTAGTCACCCCCCCCCTTAGAATGGAGGGAGAGCAACAGTATCAACAAAATTCCCATTTGTCCTGGCATGTGTAACCTTTCCAGATCCTACAGAGCAATCATACGCAGGCGTTTTTCATACTAGAATTTAAAGGAGTCAAAGCTGTTAAAGAAACTGGATGTTTCCTGGCCTAACTGAAGGAAATAAACCGATTAAAGTAAGAGCAAAAGAAAGTAAGCATTAGTGTGTTTACATCCTCTGGTATGTCCCACTTCTCTACGTTCTGCTCACACGCCCTTTCCATACTCTGAGCAAGCACTCCCAAACTTAGAGAGGTAAGGCTTCAGCTAAAATCTCACAGTTGAGACTTTTTTTTTAATAATATAAATACCATAAATTTAAGTGTTTGACTTTACTGGATCCGTGTGGGGCGTGCTGAGGGCAAGGCTTGTTAAGTGAACCAGCAGAGGAGAAGACTGGACAGGAGTGTAATCCCATAGGATAACAGCAATTGAATGATGTCCGTAAGCATGGCGCTAGCTTAGTGTGTATGCAGCATTGGGGAGCTTGGATGAAACCCTCCAGCTTTCTGGGTGTCCAGTCAGAACCAGAGAAGCTGCAAGAAGTTTACTGTAAAACTCCAGTACTGAAATGTCTAAAGGAACTGGACCTTTAATTTCAATGGGCACTGATTTTAGGTTTTGCACAGTCAATTCTAGTTAAAAACCAAAAACTTTAACAATAGCTGATGCCCCTGCTGTGGGAGCTGTAAGACACCTGTTATACTGCTGAGCCCTACTCTTTTTTTTTTTTTTTTTAATAAAACACTGTTTTAAGATACAGCACAATAAATGTGCTTATTACGCACTCTAACATAGAGCACAGAAATACAACACTACAGAGTGCAAGTCTAACCATCTCCACAGTGGGAAAAGTGCGAAGGTTAAAAATATGCATGTGGCTTAACACAAGATATTTTTAAAAAACATGACATGGAAATCTCATACTAATGCTTTCGTCTTTATCACAAACAGGACTGAAAACTTAAGGTCAGTTGCTGCTCCTTCTCTCGTAGTAGTAGTGTAATCCTTTCAAAGGTACAATGCTGGAAAGATCAGAGAATAAAAAAACCAAGTGTCCAAAAATGATCCCATGTACCACTTTTCCAGTAGTTATGTTTTTCAAGAAGTAAACATGTAAGGTCACCTTGATCTTTGCCATTGGTAACTGATACACTCAGAAACAGCTAAGCCAACCACCTGCACTGAGATCAGTTCGGTGTCGCACACGCACACACACACGGATACACACACAAACACCCCACAGGAAAAAGTGCACTTTCAATTGCTGATACAAAAATAGATTGGCACATTCTTTTTGACACAGTGAAGATATCCTCTTTAAAAGCTTTTTCACGTTAAGAAGTCCTCTTAGAAGTTGCAGCAGGTCTGTAGAAAAAGCGCTATGAGAATGCACTCGCGTGGGCTTCCAGGGTTTGTGTGATGGAGAGAGGGGTGGTCGTGGAGGCTGCCCTTCTAATTTTTGCCTACTTTTGTAGCTGTAGTCCCCACAGGCAGGGTCAGTCACCACCTAGTTTCAGCACATTAACCACTTACCAACAGCTCAGTCTTCACCTGCTTTGAGAAAGTAACAACACGTAAATTTGTCAAAGCTGAGAGTCTTACATCGACGCAGTGTTTCTTCTATCTTGCCGGAAAAACTGTTTTGGGGAGGGAGGGAAAGTGTGAGGAGTCTGATTTTGCATTTCCAGTAGTAACTGCAGCTCAGGAGAGCCAAGTGGGAACAGTCAGGAGCCCCTTCCCCGCAGGGCAGCCAGCGCTAGGAGTTCTGCACCAAGCGTCTGTAGTGCGGCATCACTTCATGCTCGGGAAGGTGGAGGGCAAACTCCAAGGCCACCAGCACCGGGAACTCAAAGGCGATCAGCTCTCGCCTGTTCAGCCGGAACTTCTCTTCCAGTTTCTGCAATGACAGCCGAGTTTAAAAAAACAACAACAAACCTTTGTGAATGAGGATTTGACTTTCTAGTGCTTTCTTACAGATGACATTATTCAAAACACACATACTGCTGTCATTAAACCTCTGCCCTGCTGGACCTGCATGGCTCTAGGCTGAGAAAGTGAGAACAGGATGAACTGGATGTACTCATTCCTTACTGCGAAGGTGAACTTACAAAGCTCAGCCAGCCATGCTAGTTCTGACATGTTTGCCACTTCCCTCATTCCATCTCCAGCAGATACATCTCCTAACAACCACAGTGATTACCACTGCAGGAAGAGGAAACTCCTGGCTTCATGAAAACATCGAAATCACTTGTGTAATGGAAGACATGCATCTCGTAACTGCCCATAAACTTCCTGTGCTGCTTGAAATCACTAATTTTCCTTTCAGCATTAGACTGTTACAACACCCTGTTGGGGAAATTATTTCTGCTACAATTAGATACAGTTGATCTTAATCCCTCAGAGGCAGAAGGTGTCATCTGCAGCAACCATAAGAACAGTGAGTAATAGCAACTACTATCCTCAAGAGGGATGGGATGGGTTTCATACTTGGCTTTCTGCTGTAATGTACCAAAACCTCCCATCTGCTCTGCTGTTTTCACTGGATTTGGATGCTACAAGTAGGCAACCAGCTGTTCAGGGATATTCCACCCCCCCTCCATCCTCTTCTTATGATAAGATCTCCCTGGCTTGCTACTTCTCTGCCCACTGGGTCTACTGAAAAGCAAAATGTGTCTTAAGGATGGACCAACATTTCAGAGTAGCAAGAAAGGCCAGCTTTTTCAATTCCCACTGGGTTTCATTTTTATCTGGTTATTTGGAGGGTTTTCTAACAAACTGACTGTTGACCCAGCTCTGTGACTGTGGCAGAAGGGCATGAGTACAGCTCTGCTCCCCAACCAAGTTTCCACATCTCTTGAACTGAACTGGTTGTAGCCAAGTACCCAGCTACCTGCCCTGACTTTCTGAAGCATTAAATCAGATTGGTATCTTGGTGCTTGCAAATGGATTATGGAATAACACTCCATTCTGTTAACTCTCTCATATGGACTGGGTGGGAGACCAAACACCTTACTCTACATAAAAACCAACTGGGTGAGGTGTTCTAAAGGTTCTTTAGGTTTTCTTGCCTAAAATCTTATCTTCATGAAAGAAATACAAACTTGGTAATATATTAGACTCCCTCTGAAATTAATAAGTGCAAATAAGAGTTCTTATTGAGACTCTTAAAAACCTAATTAAAAGCAAAATGAATTTCCTGAGGGTTAATTTTTTATTTGTGTTGACAGAAAGCTGGTCAGATACCCCTCAGACCTCACAGCATCTGACACCAGGGTCTTGAATCACATCAAACAAGCTTCCCTCACCTCTGCAGTGACATTGATCACTACTGCTTCCATATAAACATATAGCAAAAAAAGGTATTTAGCTGGCTGTACATCTGGAAACCTAGAGGAGAGCGTGACTACTGACAAGCAGGCTTGCGTAGACCACACACTGGCACTTCATGTAGAAGGAACACTGGAAATCTATGGATACGTACATCTATAAGATGCTTGACTTCATGTTTTCTGAGGTCACTGCCAATTTTGGCTGCTAAAAGAACACAGGCTCCAGCACAAAGCTTTCTATTCTGCTTGTTCAGCTTCCCCTTGAGAGCGAGCTTCTCAAAGTAGACAAAGGCCATGGCCACTGTGGGCTCTTCAAAACCACATTCTTCTTGAGCAAGCTTGCGCATTTCTCTCTTCAAGCTGAGTAAAGAGACCAGACAAGTATGCTGTGAACTGTGTTTTAAAGCATTTCTCATTTCACCCTGAGATTCATCCTTTCAGTTTTTCCTGCTTAGTCAAACGGAGGGGAAAAGGAAAACATAATTTACTGGGCAGGTATCTTTATGCTCTGTTCTGGGGACATATTTCACAGCACATTTTGACCTCACCCTTCCCCTCACTGCCCCCAGTAGACAGTTGTGTCAAACTGAAAAAAACAACTGAAAAATTTTGACATTTTTAGTAACAGTATTTCATCAGAGGTCTTAAGCTGCATACAATTTATTTAGTAACAACAGCTTGATTGCTTGTGCTCTATATGCAGCTTTGCTGCTGGTTATGGTTGGTCAAATCCAAACTGACAGTCTCCATGTACTGCAGTATTGCCTGGTTACAGAGCGACACAACTCAGCATCCTTCTGGCCACTTCAGTGCAATGAAATTATCATTACTTCAATGAAGCAGTATGTCTAGCCAGCCACGCTGGAAACAGTGACAAAATACTGTAATTCTGCTGTGAAACTGACCACTTGTTTTGCTGCTGGCCATGCTCTCTGGACAAGGCACAAAAGTCAGCATTTCTTTTTACTCAGTCTCTTTTTAAGCTAAGTGTCATCATCTTACAGACTTTGCTATGTTATTTTTCTGGCTATTTTAATATAGTGCGTGCCCAGCTCACATCCTCATCCCATTAGATGCTGCGTTTGACACCTGACCAGTGTGTATTTGCACATCCCCCTATTTTGTTTACTCAGCCCACTAATCAAAACAATCAATCATCTGACTTATTCTGCACCTCTGCTGGTCACTGCTCCTGGAAAATCAATCAGTGCTGTGCTTCCCCTCAGGTACAGCAGCAATTGCACTGAAATGCGAGACAGCTGCATCACGGTGCAGCCTTACCAAGCTTTGCAATGTACCTTCTTATTTTACTGAGGGTTAACTTGATGTGAGGGAACTTCTCCTTAAAGGTCTCATTCATGTCCTTCTTGAGATCTGATGGCTTCACATAGTCTATGACTGTGGTCTGTAACACATGGTCAAGAGAGAATTGCTCTTTTAGTTTGTAACAAACAAGATCACTCAGTTCCCAAAAGCAAGGAATACCAAACAAGTGACAGTCAGTCCCAACGCTTTCAGTGGACGAGAAAATTAAGTCTGAATTAAGGCAACAATTTGTTTGTGACTTATCCAACAGAGTAAGTGGCCTGAAATCTGTAACGACTGTTCAGCACAAGCCCCAAACAACACGTACCGTATCAGGATCCTCCAAGTATCGCTAAGAGTGAGGTTAAATGTGGGTAGATGAGACCTAGCTGAGTAGTGCTGTTAAACCAAAAAAAATCATCACAGTAACTGATTTGATGACCAGATTTTGTGTGCATATCTCCATGTGGTTCTGAAACGTATTGTGAATCTCTCTCTAATTGATTCTTCAAAGGAACCCCTGGTACAAATTCTTGACTGTCACAGCATACTTCTGTGATAAAACAGGTAATTAGCCCACATGGCAGGTCACTCAGTGGAGTGCAAGACAGTAATGCTGTCGTAAGTTAGGCAGTAAGTGGACAAATACATTGAGTTGAGACAACATTCAAAGTGTACAGAGTATTTCCTTTACATTGAGCTTGCTATTCCTTTTTGTCACAACCTAAAGAATTTCCCCAAGTAGCAGAGGGTCCTCCCGGCCAGCACTGCAATGCCAGCGCTCACATCTATGGGTGTGCAGCACTTCTCTCGTTCCTTTAGTCTTCATTCAAGAAGCATTTTACCCAAATCCTCTGTCACCACTCACCTGGCCAAGGTCTATCAGCTGAACAACAAAACAACCTTCATTTTGGGGATGTGCCAAGTCTCTTCTTGGCTTTTGCTGTTCTGCCCCTCAGACAGAGGCAGAGAAGAGCCCCAGCTTGGGCAGCCAGAGGACAACCTGGTCCCCAAGCACCCAGATCCCAGCCAGCTTCCAGCACGGGCAGTCCTTCCAGTAAGATAATTTTTCCCTTCTAATTTCTGTTTATAATTAACCTATACTATGGCGAAGGACTGTTAACACTAAACACGAAGACATGAAAAGAGGCATGCAGAACATGTGTCACATGTGCCTTCATAGAAGACGGAGCCTCACTGTTTTATATCCTCATGGGAATCTAAATGAGTCAAAAAGGCTGACTGCATATGCTTGCAGGTTTTTTTAAATAATTAAAATAGTATATGGAAGGGCTTGGGGAGGAGAGTGTAATGGCTCTAGAGAGCAACTGGACAACTCTTGTAATCTGATCATGTTATTGTCTGGATCCAAATTGAGCATGAAGGGAAGTAAAACTTACCTAACTTTTCACAGAATCACAGAATGTTGGGGCTGGAGTGAAAGGCTTCAACTGATCTAGTTGAAGATGTCCCTGCTCTCTGCAGGGGGGTTGGACTAGATGACCTTTAAAGGTCCCTTCCAACCCAAACCATTCTATGATCCTATAACTGAATGTGTCAGTCGGCCTGGTTTTAATCTTGCTGAGGTTGGAAGGATGTACACATCGACCCATGCAGCCATGGCTCTTCATCACAACTTCTCATGTGCTTCACCTCACCTGGCAGAGCTCAGCCTTCTGAAGCAGAAGAATTTTACCAATTACTTCTCTCCCTTCTTTCCCGGAGACGCTGCTGCCTGCCTGCCTGCCAACTCCTTGGTTTTGTTGCCAGAGGATCATCAGCAAGTTGGGTGCGTCTGACATACAGATATGCTGGGAGTTTTATGTGTTATTAAGAGGAGGTTCCTCTTAGTACTCCTGTAAGAGGACTACTGAAACAAGCCACATAACATAATTTAGACCAGTGCCATCTGCTACTCAAAGCATAGAAGCATCAGCCCATGCTGCTCTTACTTAAGAGAGCCAAGAGACACTGAGCACATAAAGGTTACCTGCTATTAAATCCAACAATGATTTTAGTTACTACCAGCATTTTTTGGTTGTCTTGGGCAATCCTAGAAAGAGTGAGCTCAGGTGCTACTGTGGAAAGCTACATGACAGTTTATTTTGTGCTTCATTGCAAACCTAACTGCCTGTTGTTTGCTCTCCATTACCACAGTGCTCCTTAGTTTTATCTTAATTATCTCCCTCAAAGTAGTCATGTTTTTTTCTGGTAGACTTGCATTTGGCTCTCTCCAGTTAACTGCCTTAGCTCGCACCAAGGAGGATGCAGTCATGCATGAACCTCACCTGCATGACAGAAACCACTTTGCTGCAGAAGGTGTATGGCAGTGGAGGGAGGGTCCAACCATCCTGTGGACTCAGCTGCACAGAAATTATGCTGGACACCGAGTTTCAGTTGCTTTCACCTCTAAGAAGTAGGTGCCAGAGTGACTGCAGCTCCAGGGGTGACTGTGCAGAGCGGGAGTGAGCCCTGGGCTCTGCCACACAGCAGCAGCAGCACCCCAGGGTGCACCTTTTCCCATGGCCCCTCTGCAGCCACCATCTGTTTTACCTGGGACTCCTCCAGCCCATAGGAGATTTGCCAGAATTCAGCTAAATTCTCTTTACAAGGAGAAAAGCTCTTTCTTAAAAAAATTATTTAAAGCAAAGCACTCAGAGGCCTGAGAATAAGCAGACAACTCACAACTGAAAATGGTAAGGAGGTACAGCTATTTTTAGACAGAGAGATTTGTCAATTTTGTCCTGTTGATAAGAATCTCCCCCCGCAACTCTGCATACTGGTGCTTCCTGCAAGACAACAGTCTCTATGATATAAATCACAATAATGAAATCCAGATGAAAGCTGGTGTGTGCTGGTTTTGATTCATGTAACAGGATAACAGCAGCATGTTCGAACACACTGGCTCTAAGGCAGCTGTCTCATCTTGTCAGTGCCATGCTGGAGAGCTCAGCTAACTGCCCTTATTCTCAAGAAAAGGAATTGTGCAACTTCTTTTTTTTTTTCCCCCTTGATTTTTTTTTCCATAGCTGCTGCAGAAGGCCAGCTTCATCTGGCACATCCCATGTGCCTGGCCAGTGCCTATAGAAACGCACTGGGGGACCCTGCCCACCAGAAAGGCAGGCAGCAAAAAAAAAAGTTACCTATTGCCAGGTAATTTAAAAGCAATGCTGAATTAGTGTTTGTTGAGTGACTGAGTAAGTTACCTCTTCTGTTTCTGACCAGGCACCTGAGCACCCCTCTCACTGTCACACTGTGTCTGGGGCACAGAATCCATGAGGCTACATAGAAATCCTGGTCCCCAACCCTGCTCCTGCCCAGGGCACCACATGCACCCCATGAACAGCTTGGCACTGAGCAGCAACCCCCAGCTACTGCCCCTGGCCATGAGAGATGGAGCAGAGGAAACCTCTGGGGTGGCCCAGTGACCCACAAGGACCAGCTGGGATCTGACACAGGAGGGCTGTGACCCAACATCATCCTTCACTGCCTGCTCTCTGCTCAATGTTTCTGCTCCTCTCCTCTGTTTTAAGCCACTCCATTGTGCTTGAGCTGCCCGTGAGTCCCAAACAAAACTGCCACATTGAGAAGACATGACTGTAAATGGCGTGGATTTTTGTCTGTCCAGAACAATTCTGTTATTGCCCACATAGAAGCATCATTCAACACCAATGCCCCAAATTTTATGAAGGGTTTGCAAATATTTCTCTAAAAGGAGCACAGCATTTTTCTATCCAAACATGCTCTCTTATACATGATGTTATCCACCCCAGGCAGGCACCCTGCACTCCCAGAGCAGTCAGACACATGAGCAAGGCACTGGGAACTACCAAACCGTCTCTCTCGCACCCTAATCTCGAATGTTTGTAACTTCTGTCATCCAGAAACGTCTGTCTTGTTTCTCACAGCTTATTTGCACAAAACACATTTCACTTCAGTATTCAGCAATACTCCTTCGTGAGGTCTGTTCACATTCTCTGTATACAAATCTGTATATGTATATTTTAGTTTGGCGGTGGAAGTTGCGCAAGACAAATGAAAGCCTTGATATATGGTAGCTGACAGATGCCTGGACAACATGACGAATGCTTCAGCCGAAGTCTGTACTCTGCACACTTTTTGCATGGCTGGCAGTTTTGAACTTGGAGGTTAGCTTGTGTGTTATTCACAAGTGTTTTCAGGCAGCTGCTTTCTCATAGGAAAGATGTATATATAGTTTCATAAATATGGGAGGAGGGAGGATGCCTGAAATGTTTGAAAAGACTGGCAAGATGAAATATTGTTGAAAATAAATCGTACTTTGGCACACTACCAGTAAAAGATGATCTAGCCTTGGATGCCTGTGTCTCCTGCTTAAGAAGGATAATATCAGAATAAAATAGGTGAATAAAATGAAAGATATATGATAGGGCTCTCTTCAGCTGTCATTACTGTGTACTCTTGATAAATCTACTTCACAGAGAGCAGACTGATACCATTAACAGACTTTCAGTAGGTCAGTGGTAAGTTCTCAACCATATAACAAATGAAAAGAAGTCAATGACTCTGCGCTGCCTGGTGACCAGCGATGTAGTTATAAACTGCCAGTAACCTCATTCATATACTTGCGGTTAAAGATGCATATATAGGGGGAATCCTGACAGAGCAGAAGCTTAAAAGTGTGATGGAAAACAGGAGTGATACCCTATTTATAATAAAAAAAAAAAAAAAAAGGAAAAGGAAGACTAAAAGAAGATGTTTCTGTTGTTAGAATGTTACTAACGTTCAAGAATGTTAAACTGAAAGATTTCGAATTTCACAAAGCAATTAATCTCAAAACTGCCTCTTTGAACTAAAGTACATGGAAGGGTTCCAGTTTGTGTTATACAGTTAACACATGGGAATCATTCTCAATTAATACCATGTGTCATTGCTACAATATAGTTGTTTATTTGAGTCTCAGTGAAATATAGCATCAAATGCATAGAGCACAGGGTCTGAATATGAATATATACCACCACTGTGACCCTCTGCTCCCTGAGACTTTTGGGTACAAGGTCAGCAGCTGATAAAAAAGCAGTCTAGAGATGCTTAATTCACAACTGTGGAAGCAGCTCGAAGAATAGGGTGGTGGCACGCTGAAGGACGCTGGCTGTAGCGGAGTGCTCCTGACCTTGATGCTCCTTGTGAAAGACAGAACAGGGGAGCAAGAGACCAAATGCTCTGTATCATCATGCAGGGCTTTTGTGAGACTAAACGGCCAGGGCAGCAAGCAGTTCTAATTTTAAAATCACATTGGAGGACTAATATTCAATAATGCAGCCTGGCTGTGCTTGACATCACTGCAGTACCTGGCAAACGCAGGCTGACAGTCAGCCCGCTGCAAGAGCACTGCAGACTTTTGCGACATGCTTTTTTATTTTTGGTGTAGAGATGCCAATTTATTTTGACATAATTAAACCAATACACTGAAATCATAGTTAAATACCTGAAGCAATTTCTAAGTGAATCCCTTGGGCACAGATAAGTGGATATTGCAGGGATGTTATTACAGAAGGGTCACTCAAAGTCAAGACGCTACCGATACAGGCTTTTCTTCTTTTGCTGCGAGTTTTGGCAGTGTACAGCAGCCAGCTGAAGATGCTCCTGTGTTTCTGTGTTACCAACAAAAGCAGGACTGCTGGGGTAAGCCACATGCCCGCTGCAGGGTGAATTTTCTCCTTCTGCATAGAAGGAGTCTGTTTCTGCTGGCGAGAATGCAGGGAGGCCAGGGAGGCACTGACGAGTTTGGATATACCCTGGTCAGCCTGAGACTCCAGCACAGAAATGACTGCTCTGTCTGGTAGATAAAGTTCCCATTCTGGAGAGATTTTAAGAACCTGCAAGAATTCCTGTTTTAGCAGTATCAGCCAGGAAGACATCTGTTAACCGTGACATGATGTTTCCCTCCTCTCCCTGCCCCCCAGCATGAAATTCTTCTACCTCTTACTGTTTATACTGCGGTATAGATTGTAGACTCTCCTACAAAGCCAACATAAAGCAAAATAATTTATCTGGGGTAGAAGAGAATTTAAATATGACTAACACAATTAACAGAAGCCATAGAGTTTGTGTTGGGAAAGTAATGAAGCTGCTTTTTCAGCATCATCCCCTGACAGGCTGTTTGTGGGTTTTACTTCTAGAAACGCGACAGGGAAGTGTTTATCCTTTCAAGCTAGGAACTTTGCTGTAAAAAAAGACCAAACTGAAAGCACTTCTTCCCCACGGCTATCTTGAAGGAGGAAGCTCAGCTACTCCTTGAAAACAGCTGAGGACTTGCAGGTAAAAACTCAGGCTCCACAAAAATGGAGGGAACTGTATGTTGCATAGGCTCAAGTGCTAACTGCATGTATTTCAGAGTAAAATCCAAGCAGGACCAGACATTTTGCCTGAGGATAAAGCCTGCCGTGTTTACTGATGCAACATTCACACAGACCTCAACAGAGTTTTACCAGCAGAGAAATCCTGGCCAGCAAAGCATGAGCCGGGCTCCCAGGAGTAACGCTGGTGCGTGTAGCCCTATTCCGCAGCCAGGGCCGCAGCCCCGCATCCAGCCTCACTCAGCCACACCGACACGTGTTCACATTCCTCCCACACACCTTCCCCCCATTAATTGCTCTGACATCCATAAGGGGCTGGGGGAGAAGGGGGGGCATATCTACAAGCTTGCAGCTGCCAAGCATTAATGCTAAATGCTGGCCAAGTAATGGAACTTTAATTACAAGCTGCAGCTCACCAAACACAACAAAACGTTCGGCGCTGACATCAGAGCCGCTCTCAGCTGCTCCGGCGCCTGCGAGAGGCAGCGATCGCAGCTGCGTGCCGCTCAGGACCAGAGCCTGGTTTCACTCTGGGTACAGCAGCTCTACAGCTCTGCAGCCATTTGGCAGAGGTCTGTCAATACCGCGATGGCTGTGCACGGTCAGGACAAAAACACAGGTTTTTCGCTGGCCTCAGACTGCAATTTGCTTTAATTGCAGCATACGTCGATTTTTATACCTGGAGAAGAAAATGACGTGAAATTACAGCCTATTATGCTCCTGGTCACACTGATGTGAACTGCAGGGAGGCGGAATGCCAGCTAAGTCTGGAAGCAGGGCCTGTAGCGATAGGACAAGGGGTAATGGTTTTAAAGTAAAAGAAGGTAGGTGTAGACTACCTATAAGGAAGAAATTTTTCACAATGAGGGTGGTGAAACATTGGAATGGTTGCTCAGAGAGGTGGTAGAAGGTCCTGACGACATTCAAGGCCAGGCTGGACGGGGCTCTGGACAACCTGATCTAGTTGAAGATGTCCCTGCTCATTGCAGGGGGGTTAGACTAGATGACCTTTAGAGGTCCTTTCCAACCCAAACCATTCTAGGATTCTATGACAAGTCTAATAGGGATGCAAGTAAAGTCTCCTACGTAGCCAATATGACCCTATATTCACCCACTCAACGCACAAGCCGTCCTTATTTGCAGCCTGAGCTGCAAAATCCTATTTAACCTGCAAGCTCCCAGCACACTCTGACACTACCTTTTCTCCTTTCCTGTGGCTGAAGGAAGCACCAGCCCCATGTGAAATCTCTCAGCCGAGCCCTGAAGAACAACCATCCACTCTCTGGTTTCTTGCAAAGCTGTGCAGCTCCTGCATGGCATCACAGCTATGCTTCTTCGACCAGGGCAGGCAAAATCCTTGGACCTTGGACAAGAGAGCTCTTGGCATGTGCCAGTTATCCCTACCAACAAAAGAAACACAGCACTTAATGTCCTTCAGCCCCCTTTTACATTAGTGTCTGCCCTCAGAGAGGGAGACAAGAGTGCTATAGACCCTCAGGCAATGCTGAGCAAGTGATGGCTGGAAGGCAAATTCAGGCAAAAACCAAAATGTGAAATAAGGTGTTTTTCCAGACACAGCAGTAATTAACCCCTAGAGAAAATGAAACAGCAGGGAGACCCCTGTCAATGCAGATACACTCTAGACAAACAATGACGTTGATTTTAACAATTGCCCTTGAAGTCCATTTTCACCTTTAAAGCTTCTAATTACTCCTCTGTCACAGTGGAAATCCCCAGTCAGCTCCTTATTGCAATAAAAATACCTCAAAATGCTGTGGTTAACCAGCATATGGAAAAGAAGGGCACTGAACACCACTCCTGGGCCTCAGAGACCTCCCCTGCAAGATGCTGCCCTGGCTATCTTATTTTTACTTGCCCAACCATGTTCATCTCAGCACCAAGCTGAAAAGGGATCAAAGGCCTCAGGTGATCCTAGAGGACTCAGATCACCTGGGGCACATTAACAGCCTGGGGAAGGTTGGAAACACAACCGTGACTGCTATAGCTGTGTTCACTTTGGATGCTAGTTAACAGCGTCCTTCTGTTTGAGAGAAGACAGTTCCCTGTCCATGACAATAACCAGATCAAAACCTAACAAATATTTTCCCACTTAGATTTAACTTTGTGGGTTAGCAGCCAAAAAATAACTTGCCAACCCTAAAAGTAAAACTGGTTGAAAGTAAGCAGAGGACATACTGTACTTCCCACTTGAAAATTTAGCACAAACACAGTCTCAGAGCTTGATTAAGCCTTTTTGTACAACAGACAGAACACTCCTGCCAGCATGGAGATAAGCTTCAGCCTACACGGAACACATAAAATCCATTTATTTTCAAGAAGCACCCAAGAGCCCTATTATCAAATAAAGACCAGGGTGGGGGGCAAACCTACAAAGACTGTATCTTTAAATATCTTAGTAGGTTCTTCAATAATAGCTCTGTTCCAAGTTAAGTGAGGACATGGACAACACTTTAGACCTCAAGTGTTTCAAATCCTATCCTATTTGTATATAGATAAGAGTACTAGGTTACCACTTTGGGGAAAAAAAAAGAAGCTTTTCCCTGCTGCCTGCTACTATTTTGGATGTATAATTCAGACACGTGCTCACATGCATACGACAGCACTGCATCTTGCAACAGTCCTGCCAAAATAACACACCAAAGTCTACAGAGTTGGTGCAATCAAGAAAAGGCTACAGAATTCTCTTTACCACAGAAAACACTGAGTTAGAGCATGGATCAGGGAACAGTTATGCATCTGTATTGTTACAGGTTTGGATATAGTGAAAAATATACAGGCTTTGCTCAGAATTGCTGCAATTAGAGGAAGGACTATCCCATGGTGAAATAAATAGCTGTGAAACAAAGGCTCTACTAGACACTGAAGCGCTGTTGCATGGAATGAATGATAAGCATCAAAACACAATGTAGCTTCATGACTTCAGAAAAACCCTAATGGGCATCCTCCTATTTTGTAATAGATGCCAATTAGAGGAAGTATAAATTTTCCTCTGAATGCGAGAGAATGAACGCATTGTTTGAACAAGTCTTTCATCTAAAGCATTTATGAAATACAGTGGTAATAAAAGTGTTTACTTTTGTAATACCTCCATGAGTTTGTTTTTACATGTCCCGGTAAGTAACTGTCATTTAGAACAAAGCACTCCAAACAGCTGTTATTAGTAGATTTAAAAAAAAAAAAAAATCTTCTTAAAATACAGCCAAATGTAACCTCAACCTTCAAAATACTGTTACCAAAATTTACCTGTGCTACACTTAGTTTCGCATATCACTTACCATATATGAGGGAAATATTAAAACCCGCTTATGTTTGCCACATGGCCACTGGGGATCATCTAAAAGATTTGGGTCATATTCAACAAAGTCTCCCAGGTCACTACCTATAACACAATGATAAATAAAAGAAAGGAATTAATCAAGAAATATCTGGACTTAACAGAAGAAGCAAATGAATTCACAGGTAATGCACAACATCATCTTCATGTAGGATTTTTGAAAGAGTCAAAAGATTTCTCTAAATCTTGAAAACTCTACAAATCAATTTGCAAAGATATAGAAGACCTACAGCTTATGAATTACCTGCTAAATGGGAATTCAGGGCTTAAAGAACTGCAAAATGACATAAAGCTCCACAATGACTTTTATTCCCAGCAACAAGTTTTCATCTGTTTATGCAGATGTTTGATTTGTTTCGTTTAACATGCCAAAATATCTTAAGTATATAGTGTTCTGGCTTATGTTTTGTGCCCAGTTTTGTAAACACAGCCCTTTCCAGCCTAATAAAGGTCATGAGTATGATTTACACCTTCAGCTTATGACTACTGTGGTGCCCCTGTAAATTTTCCATAGCAAAGGAAGGTGACGAAGAGCCCGATGCGGAAGAACAAACAATGCCGGTGACAGGAGGAGGCACGCCGAGTGCCATCAGGGGCTGTCAATATGACCAGCAATCTTGTTTACTTAACTTTCCATCAGCTGTAAGCCAGCTTTGCTAAACAAACAGGGAACAAGCTCTGTTTCACCCACAACATGAGACTATATTTTGCTTAATTTAAGCAAAAAACGGGGCTAAACTATGACATATGTCCATCCTTCACAATAACTGCCTATCACCAGGCTATGCAAGGATATTAAAACAAGCTTTTTGAGAAGTTACCTGCATCAATGCTCCCCTGGGTGCTGTTAGCTCTTGCCAAAGAAAGGCTACGATGGCTTGCATTGCGAAATTGGGAGAAGGATGAAGTGGAGTCGATTGTGTTTCTCCGAGCTCCCAGAGCATTGGTGGGAAATAGGAACTGTGTATAAGAAACAGTCTAAAAAGGAAGTCAGAGGGGACAGGCAGTTACTATCAGCCCAGCTTGGCTACAGTGGGATGATTTTGGTGCATCCCAATTGGACACAAGGGAAGCCAAATTAGCAGAGGATTTTCTGGATTTAATAGTTAGGCACAGATGAATAAACAGCAGTCACCTACATTTGCTTCAGTGCAGTCAGTTTATCCATGCAAAAGAAGCTTTTGCAAAGGCATTAATTCTTCAACAAAACAAAACCACAAACACACAAGCTCTAATACACTGGATTTACAAAATCCTACTCAAGGGTCAGATTTAAAAATATGTCAGTTTGGTCAGTTTTTTTCCAGTGGGCCTTCTCTGTAGCAGGTTTCAGCAGCTTCTTTACTGAAACAGCACCATCTATATGGGTCCCTCAGCACAGAGCTGCTAGAGGCAAATCATCTGAATGTTGCTAAACTTAAGCACTTTCTCTGGTATTTTTCTCCTGTAGGATTTTGGCTGGCAGAGTCTAACTGGTGTTGTAAGTGAGCTCCAGCTTATAGCAATGGTTGTGGGACATCATTTACTACCTCCCATCATAAACTAAGTGTGAATGAATAACTTGGGTCAAAATTCTTTTTAGAGTGTACCAATTCTCTCCTTGCACCCTTGGCCAGGAATAGACTACGTCTGGCTTCTTGTAGGTTTATTTTCCAAAAATAACATTATATTGAAGGGAAAAAAAAAAGAGTCTCAGATTCTAGACTGGTTCACGAGGAAGTCAGAATAGGTATCAAATAAATCACATGAGCTTTCATTTATCTATAAGCAGACTGATTGTCCTCAGGAATTCAGTCTGTGGTCTGGCCTGACACCTGGTTAGGTGAGCACAGCATGTGTAGCAGCACTGACCTAGGGCCTTTAAATCCATAAATGACAGCAGACGAGGTAAACTGAACTGTAAAGAATACATCAGGCTTTCAGCAAAAAAAGTTTTAATTTATGATTAAAATTGTCTCTCCTCTAGATATTTGTTTGAAATTGATCACTTTCTCTCAAGATTCATAATTGCTTATTCTATTCAAGTGAATGCACTCTTAGATTTTTAAATACTCATCAGATTTGTACTACTGTCTTCCCGCTCCTTGGAAAAATAAATTTTGTTAAGCAAAATTTATTTTATTAGATAAAATTGAGAGTGAACAGAATTACAGATTACAACTCTCACCGGAAATTATTTTCAAGCCCCTGACAATATACTGTGCAGTGATACTTCCTGTTAGAGCCAGGGGAAGGCTGCATGATTCAGTAATGCTTTACAAACTCAGATGTTGCCACAGGCAAATAAATTTCTCTAAGGAAACAGAGTTGTTTGCATTGACAGCTTGGGCAGTCCTCCTGAATTTCAGTTTGCAAATACTGTGCTTTAACTATTGTGTTACACTGCACATTATAATTCATTTTTCTATCCGTGCTCATTATTAGTTAAGCCATTTTTTCCCTTATTACATAAAATCTAAGGGAGTAGGAACTGAAATATCCCCACCTTCCCGTCTGCTCCGAGCTCCACACCTTCAAGACCAATTATCTCTTTCAGACACACTCCAGTAGAATGGCACTGGCGTCCACTGTCCAGCTTCATATCCCTGGGGAACAGAAACCAGAGCAGAAACAGCTCTTACTACACACACCTTCTTTACCTTTTACCACACAATGCTGAAACAAGGCATAGCAGCATTAATCCAAGCATGCCAATACAAAGCACAGATCAAACAGCTTTTCCTACAGGCAGCACTTGTGTTGTCTACAATACATCACAGAGAAAACCCCCATTTTGTTCCAGGTTGCACCTCATATCCCACCTATGAGGTCCCCCATCATTGGGTGCCTCTGACAGAACCTGGCACTGGGAAGAAACTGGAAGTCATGTACACTTCAGGTGAGACCCAGCCACGTATCCAGCAGACGGACACTCCCAGAGCACATCCCCATGTTCCCCTGCACCGTCGGACAGAGGCAATTACCCATGAAAGCCTCAGGGAGGGATTGCTGCTCTTCCAAGTGCAGACTTGTGTCCAAAGCTCAGAGACCCTCCTGCTGGAGTAGAGGCCATGAGGATAAATCCAGCTCTCCACTGCCTTGGGATGGAAACTTGGGATCTACTTTAGAAGGACTGGCCCACTTGGCATCTTACACGTGGACGTAAAGGAGATGCCTGAGAACCAGGCTGTATCCCATGCTTTAGTCTCATGATCAAAATGTGAGTGAAGGTAAAAAAGACTATGAGCAAATCTGTGCTCTGCAAACAACAGCTGTATACAACTCCAGAGAATTTATCTCGCACTATTTTCCTGGCTGATTTCTGCTGAGGTCCACGTATGTGCTTAAAAACATGTGCAGGAGAGATGCTGACACTGAAGCAGGGAAAAGCCCTGCAGGCTCTTCACCCGATTGCAGGGCTGGGCTATCTCCTACTGTGTCTCTTCTCCGCACACGCTGTTTCCTTGCCTTCCATTTCCAACCTGTCACTCATTTTATTTCTCTAAAACATGGCAATCAGTGAGTCTCCAACAAATCATGTACCTTACCACTGGAGAAATCCAACTCGTCTATCTGCTGGAAAACATACTTCTGTGACAAAAGAAAAGACTGTATCAAGTTTCTAATCCCAACAAAGTCCTCTTAGTTTCTTGTTTGGGGTTCACTTAGCACAGTGTCACATTATCATTCTTGTTTCCTGATATCATGTTACTGAGGGGCTGTATAAATAATTATATAAAAATAACCCTCTCTCAGAGGCATGGGATTAGCCTCTCCACTCCTGCGCAGAGTGTGCTTAAAGGAAGTATTTCTCACAGAAACAAGTGCCAAATGGTAGCTGTTTCAGCAGGTCTTATCTACAAAACAAACACACAACCTAAGGAAGCCCCCAAACCCAAAAATGAAAACAAATATCTGAATTACCTGAAACAATATCAGAACAGTTTAGGTTCCTTCTGCTCAAAACTTTAGAGACATAGAGCAAGAAATAATGCTGTTATGACTTTGAAAACAAGTCATGGAGAAATTTCTCCATGCAATTAACAGACAAGGGTAGATAACTCTGTAATTCATCAAATTAAAATCTGGTACCCTTTGAAGATTCAGCACAGCAGCTTTAAAAAAAAAAGCAGCAGCTCTGAGGACTGAAAAGAAATAAGTGCTCTGGCAGCAGGGAGCAGGGTCAGCTGGCACGTGTGAGCACACACAGGAATGACTGCTGGACATTAGCTGAAGATTCATGGACATTAATGCCTCCATTTTCCCATCTTTCCCATGTTTCTAAAGAAGACTCTGTTCAGGACCCTGTGAACAACACTGCAGTCATTCTCCCTCATCCTAGGTGTTTTGCAAGGGCTACTTAGGGCCTTCCCCTCCTCTACGTATGTTCTGTATTTCTAGGTAGTATAAGATTGCTTGTGTTATAAAACAGAGTAATAAAATATTAATGTTTGGAGAGAAACCTGTCCATAAAACACAGAATTAAACTCCCTCCCTTGAGGAAAATCTGTATTAAAAAATGTGCACTTTATTATCAGTGCATAAATGGAAAGGCTCATCCTAGCTTACACACATCCTCCTCTCACTGGTAAAAGATCTCGGTGAAGAAACTCCTAGGCAACTTTACTGTATCCTTTTTGAGTTCCCTACCACTACAACCAACAGTAAGCTAGTCAAGTTTTTGCAAGATAAGCCTTGCTTTTTTTCCCCTCCCTCCTATTACACACAAAAAGTTCACAAATGCCTCAGCAAAACTCCTGCTGGGAGAGGAAGCCCAAGGGCTGCCACCCTGCTGCTGGGGGAGCCCCAGCACAGCTGCATCCTCCTCACACTCCCAAAATCCTGAGAGGAACTAGGAAAGACCCTGGGGATGTCTCCACTTTGCCCTCCCCAAACAGGTTAGTCGTGCCCGGGGAACAGTGAGGGTGGTTCTTTGGGTACGGACACCCCACCAGTGCTGCGAACCATCACCACCAGGTTCCTCATGACACATGCCCTCGCGTGGGACCACGGTCAATGGGCCCTGTGGCACAGGAACATATGGAGGATAGGCACTTTATATTTAAAAAAATCAAGCTTTCACTGTGTTTAAGCTATTTAGATGACCGATGGGACTGAAGAACTGCACAAACCAATATCCAGTAGTAAAAGGTGCTTAAAAATGCAAAGTAGAAAAGATGGTCCTTGCCAAAGAGGCTTTTAAGTGAAGAAAACTTCCTTCCTCCTCTTCCTCATTTTTTATTTTCCTGTCCTTTTTTCCAAAAGTGCCTTTTTAACAAAGTTTTCAGGGGATTCAAGCAGACACCAAAAAGCAAAAATAAATAATGGGAACTTAATTTTACTACCTTCAGTTTACTTGAGCAGGGGAAGCCTGAGGAAATCAGAAGATCAAGGATGACATTTCCTTAGGAGACAAAAAACTAGATCCCACTTTTCAACAAAGTTTGGGGAGTTACCCTGATTCATATCAATGTCAAGCTCTAGATACTATATCTTTGCATACCATTTCCAGAAAGCTGAGCAGTGTTATAAACTACACTCAAAACTAAGCGTATTGTTTTAGTTATCCATGACTGCAGAAAAAACCCAAGTTTCTCCACCTAACAGGTTTCACAGATTTTCCTGGAACAGTACCAGGTAACTTGGGATCCTAAATTTGTTGTGGGATGGTGAAAAGTTTTACTGAGCAGGTAGGTAAGAATCAAAACAGGAAATCTCACTGTGTCTTTTACTAGTCAGGCCAGGATTAACAGAATATAAATCGGATGCTATTACCTTTGGAAGTATAACATTTCTTTAATGAATCAAACATTATGCTTTGACGTGATCTACAAAGCCTCATGCAAGACTCCTGCTGGGCACTTGCTCTTTAAATGACAGCAAGAGTTGAACACTTTAACCTATGAATAATTTAGGAGTCCATTAAATATTAAATAGATTTCTAGATATATGAAAAAGCCTTCTGCTTATTGCAAAAAGGAATCTGATAATTGTTATTTAGAGATGTAAGCCTTGTGTGTCAATATTTTATACTTAGTGATTCCTGACTGTTAAGATTTATTCTAAAAGCAAAGGCAGTTCATAAGACACCAAGAAAAGATACTGTTTTTATCCATCACTGTAAATAATTTCTACTTATAATCTCTGTTTATAGGGACAAGGACAATGACAACTTTGGAAAAGGCGCGCTGCCAGCCAGTCCAGCAGCAGATCTCCCGCTGCCTGAGACTGTCTGCTCTAATTGATCGAGAGCTTTCAGATACTAATTGCCATTAGTGCTGCTAGAACAACAACTTTGGTGGCAATTTACAGGGAGAGGAGGTGAAAAAACTCCTGGGAAGATGGCTCTAATGTGCCAGTATCCTATTTCTCTCTCCAAACATATTCAGGTGTCAGCACGTCAGCTGTTTTATGATTTGCCCAACGGAGAGAAAAAGTTCAAAACATAAACCTATTAGCTTCTGGGAATTCATTGCTGAATTCCAATTGAAGGGAATAGGGCACCTCACAAAAATGAGCAATGGTGGCTCTACAAAATTCATACATGA